CCACACCAGCACCCTGGGCCCAGATTCTCGCACTGTTTCTGCTCTCTCCCGGCCCCTCAGGAATTGTTGCGTTTATCCCGGGGGCCGCAGGACAGACGTCCTTGGGGAAGTCCAGGCTGCAGTTCCAGGGAGGAGTGAGAACCAGAGGGCCCTGCTAGACTGGGAGCTGTCGGCCCAGCTGCCTAGCCTCCCAGTCTCCCTCCCTCCACCATTCTAATTGTGATTAGGGGGCTCATTTGCATCTAAAAGGAGGCGTTTTCTTATCAGCACCATTGAGCTGGGAACCAGTGTACTCCATTTATACCAAGTGGTCCATTTAAACCAGGGCCCATTAAGCAGTAAAAGTAAATGTGGGTGTTTTACAAATGCAAATATATCATGCAAATAATGTACTTTATACTGAATGATGCCTTGGTTTTCATATGTAAAATTAGAAACTGTGTAGCACAAAGATAATGATAAACACCTTTGCATCTGTTCCTGAGCCCTATCATGAGCCCTCTGCATCTAAAATTGGAGCCAAGGTTTTAAGCAGAATTTTTCAGTCTGTACCCAAACATGCATTCTGTATTATCAAGAATACACATGCACTATCTAGTTATTTATGTATTCCTAAGTAATCAAGAAATCACAGGAAAGAGTAATCCAAATTGCCTAGCCTATTCCTTACCGTCAGTGATGAGATTTATAATTTTGTTTCCATTTTTAAAGATTTTTGAGTTTTTATGTGAGATGGTCGACATGGAGGAAGACGTTATGATATAGGCTAGATCCTTCGTTACAGATTTCATTATATCTGTAAGAGCTTTTTGTTTTAATCCTTAGAGTTTGAAATAATTTCATTAGGGAGATGCAGGTAGTCTTCCTGCGACTTTTCAAAATCACTTAGTAGGATAGTGATGGCCATCTTCTATGTACCATGAACTTTGTGAGTTCTAGAAGAGGAGTGATCGTTAGCCTTGGCCCAAGTGACGTCTGCCATGGTCAGGTGAGATGCAGTCGCACCTCTGGGCTGTAGATTCAAGGCACAAGGCATCGGAATGGGGAGACCCCACCACGTGTGACCATTCTCAAGCGAGCTGCACAGTCATTGCCAGAAGTGATGCAACGTCCATATTGTCACAGCCCCTAGAGAAGAGTATAGCAAGGGTTCAAGCCTCCTGCACATTCCTGAGCACATTACTGAGAGTCCCCTTATCTCCTGTGCCTTCCCAGTAAGTAGCTTCGGGGATCCTTGACTTCCCTGTAGACTATGCCTAATCAACTGAAAGATGCAAATCCCCATTTACTCCCTTTTATTGAGTGGTTATACATTTGAGTAATATAGTATCAATGTAATCCTAAACCTTGTGATTTGTATAACTTTTGTATCGATGTAATCTTAAATTTTGTGATTTGTATAACTTTTGTGTAATGCATGATGTCTTAGGCCTTGTGAACTCCCTTTACTCTATGGCAAACTTGATTAATGCTTCTGTAGAGCCCTACTGATAAAAGCTTTGAGAACTTCTGTTACCTGGCACCCGGAAGTCTGGACCAAAAAATGTCACTATCGATAAATGCAGCTGAAACTCAAGTTCTACACAATGCTCTGGTGATCACGTGGCTGATGTATAGGTACTAACAACTCTGGTCTTACAAAGTGAAGTGTAAAAGCCTGGAGGGTGAGCAGAACCATTAGAACTCAGAAACAAACTTCTTTCTACCAGTTCCGTGCCTCTTTGATTTATTGATACCAAGGAGAGCAGCCGAGCGTTACTTGGACCATAACAGAAGGATTCAGAGAATGGAGACGTAGCAGGTTGAGAGTAACCGGATGAAGTGTCCCCAGGATCTGAGATGTGAATTGAACAGGTAGATGGATAGGCTGTATAGGATTTGTACAGGTAGAAAGAACATGGTTGAGGACACTTCAGATATGGAGGGAGAGAGTGGGCTCAGGTGGTTCTGGGAATACATGGGTATGCGTTTGTTCTGGAGACCTGCTTCCATCTGTCTTAAACTCCAAAGAGAGTTTAAGAGAATTTATTAGAAGGAAAGACATGCTCAAAGAGCATGGATGCATTAAGAGAAAGAACATGTGCTTGCTTTTGACAAGCTTTATATACTTTTACAGCCATGATTAAGCAAACCATGAGCTAAGAACGTGGGCTACAGTAGTCTGGTCACAGGTTTGGATGATCACATCTCCACCTTCTATGAGCTAAGAGGGGTGGGCTGCAGGTGTCTGCTCATGAGTTTTGATGACCATCTCTCCACCTTCTAATTTATCCCCAAGTCTTTGTCAGTGCCAAGCATGTTTCCCAGTTAGGGCTACATACATCCTGGACCTTCTTAGCAGTTAGAAGATGTCCAGAAGAAGGGTGGAGGGCATGGGCCCCAGAAGCTCCAAGGCTCTATAGGGAATATGGCAGGAACTGGCTTACTCTGAGCCAGAAAAAGACCACACATGAATTCATCAGTTACAACAGGAACCAGCCAAGGGACGAGGGTGGCCAGCAAAGTCCCTCTCCCTGAGTCAGATACAGATGAGTTCTACAGCACCACAGGTCACCACAGGATGGTAGTCAGTGACTTACATACACGAAAGGGATGCTGTGTTATCTTTAGGGGGGATTTCTGTCATACAGAGAATTTTCCTGATCTCAACCTCTGGAGTTATCCAACCTTCTTCCCCTATACTTGCTCTGTCCCTGGTATCTACTCAGTTTTCAACCAAATCAAGGTCAGGATAAAGAGGAGATTTGGAAGGAAGGAAGCTGGATAGTCAGGTTCCTGCAGTAAGACTCAATTATTGAATTCTCCAGAAGCGCCAACTCCACTCTAATGAAGCCCTCAGTGTTTAAATATCCTTATAAATCAGGTGATTTCATATGGGTGATGGCCAGCTTGCTGTTTCCTACTTTGTTATAAGATGATAAAATCCTGAGAGCTTGCTGGGATTGGGAAAACATAATCTCAGGTATTTTAATGCACATTATTTTTCAGGCAGCGTTGAACCTTAAATTCCCCCAAATAGAAAAGGACAGGAATCAGAAAAGTAAGATTGGCTGGCCCCTGTCATTCTGAGACCCCCACCCCAGTCTATCAGGTCCACTGTGCCCAGTGCAGCTCATGGCCACTCAGAAGTCACAGCTGCCTGCACTGGTGTCAGGACTAGAGGAAAAACCATAGTGAAGATGCATTTGTCTTGGGTAATTTGAGTACCGTGGATCCAAAACCAAACCAAACAAAAGCCTCACTGACATCAAGGGTCCCAGCATGTGTTTTCTGGCACTAGTAAAACTTTATTTTGATATGTGACGGTGATTTTATGCTGTCACTCTAGCTTTTTCCCTCTTGACTCTTCAGTCAGGCAGTGCATCCTTAAACTTGCTGTACTGTTCGTACCTCTGGGAATGGAATTCCAGGTAGCAGTGTGTCATGGGCATAGCTCCTTGCTGACAGTGTTGCCACCCTACTAACTGGAGACTATGATTGACTGGGAAGCATTCATTGTATAGCCCTTTGTGTTTCTATGTGTGTGTATGTGTGTTTGCCAGACTTTGATACAAATATATTACTCAGATCAATTATTTATCTTTGTAATATTGAAGGTGATCGATAATACATTAACTAGTATCATTTGCCATGTCTTTTTTTTTTTTTTGAGTTGGGATTTCATCCTGTTGTCCAGGCTGGAGTACAGTGGCATGATCACAACTCACTATATCCTTGACCTCTTGGGCTCAGGTGATCCTTCTGTTTCAGCCTCCTGAATAACTGGGACTACAGGTGTGCAACACCATGCCCAGCTAATTTTTAAATTATTTTTGTAAAGATGAGGCCTTGTGCTATGATAGCAAGACTGCTCTTGAACTTCTGGGCTCAAGCAGTCCTCTCACCTTGGCCTCCCAAAGTGCTGGGATTATGGGCGTAAGCCACCATGCCTGGCCCCATGTACTATTTTGGTGAAGGTAATTTATACCACCTCTTGGGCTGGAAGGAGTAACATTTTTGACTAAGTGCTTCCTACCGTGCTCAATTTGGAATAACCAACTTTCCACACTTAGAATATTTTACTAGGGTTGGCTTGGTTATAAAGTTTTCCACTGGATGTCTTAAGATAGTGAAAATACCCGTCTCTAAATGCAGTGAGTGTCTCTGTGATATATTGATCTTTATTTTCTTGCCTCTCCTGTTCCCAGACTGTGGGTGGTAACATATCTGCAAAATGTTTTATAGGGTTTGGAGGGCAACGTTTTAAGCCAAGAAATTGAAAACAGGAGACGAAACAAGAGAAGTCGGGGAAGGAGGAAGTCGACCAAGGTCATATCTGTATATTAAAGATTTTGTTGTAGAAATGCCAAGAAAGACAAGTTTGCATTTGTAACAGGCACACACTAGAAGTGTCGGAAAAACCCATGTGGTCTCAGAAAACGTGGCGAGGTGTTTCAGTTTAGCAAATATTCTTAAATTTGGGCCAGGCACAGTAGCTCATACCTATAATCCTGCACTTTGGGAGGCCGAGGTGGGAGGATCTCTTGAGCTGAAGAACTGAAAACCAGCCTGGACAACATAGCAAGATCTCGTCTCTACAAAAAATAATAAAAAAAATTACTGGATGTGGTGGCACACACCTATAGTTCCAGCTACTCAGGAGGCTGAGGCAGAAGGATCACCTGAGTTAGGAAGTTGAGGCTGCGGTGAGCTGTGATTGTGTCACTGAATTCACGGCTGGATGACGGAGTGAAACCCCAACTTACTCCCAAAAAATCTTAAACTAGAAGCTATGCCATAGGACTGTGTGAATTTGCCATTTTGTTTACCTGCAGGTAAGCTCAATGCCCAGGTGTGAGTTGGGCCGAAGCTGTGTGAAATAGCACAATTCTGATGGATGTCAGAGACACATTTTCAGAGGGTATCTGTCATGCGCCTGGGGTTGAGTGACGTGTACAGGAGGGGCCGGGGAGGCTGGACGCCGTGAGCCCGCTCTCACGTTGATGTCTCTTCTGTTCCAGCACATCAGGTCCCTCCATCTGGCCAGGCAGCACCTTCTTCAAGAGAAACGGGGCCCTTCTCCAAGGTAGGTCCCGGGAGCACCCCTCCCTGCCCCCCACCCTATCGTGGCTCCTCTCTGGTGAGTGTCAGAGGGAGCATTGTGTCCCACTCACGAGGGGCTACTCCCCAGAGAAACGTGACGGTTGTGGCTGGTCTGTGTGCCCACCTCTCTTCCTTCCTTCCTGCTCAAGTCTCTTGATGCCTGGGAAGTATGAGTGTGAAATCATGCGCCGAGGACTGCCTCTCTGGGCCGCCATCACAGGTGTTCTAGAAGTGTTTGACTTGCTGTGGTGAAGTTGGAGGGACATGGCTGTTTGGGTGCGATGGCCACCTGAACCGGGCTGACAGGGGCAAACACTTTTGTGTGTTTCCACCACTTGGGCTGATAATGATGGGTTAGGTGTCGGGGCACCTTGGTCAGCATTGGGGTACACACATTCCTTGCTGTCCCCCTGTGTCTGCGTGTGCCCAGCAGGTCGGCTGTGGTTTATTATGAGGCTCAGAATACAGTCCCCCCTCGCTGGTCCCCAGGTGTCATCTACAGAGGACGCCTTGCTGTTGTCCAGCCCACTGTGCTGATGGAATTCCAACTGCCTTTCTGGTTAGTCTCTTTGGAAATGGCCAAAGTTCAAGAAGAATAAATGGTTAAAGGTAGCCAAAGGATGCTTTTTAAATACTTCTAGAAGTTCCTTCTGGATGAATGCTGCTTTGGATATCTACACTGTAGGGAATTGGAATCAACTGGTCCCCCGGGGGCTTCAAGTTCCTTAACCCCTCCAGTCCCTGTTCATCAGATGGGGAGAGACAGGCCTGGCCAGTGAGACACAGATGGATTTGGCTGTGTAACAGCTTTTGAGCCATCCTGTTCCGCGGAGAGGGATTTGAGCATCTCCTGCTTGACTTGGAGGTGTACTTAGCCTCTTTCCCTGAAAAGCACCCGCTGAGAGCCATGTGGGTGAGGCAGTGGAGTAGAAACATGGCTAAGGAGAGAGGCATTCAGCTTCAGGGCACTGGAGTGGCTCACTCCACTGGGAGGGACATCAGCGCATCTTGGTTGTTGATTTAGAGGCTAGGCAGTTGCATGCTGCCTTTGTAATAGCTTGTGAAATTGGGAATGGAAGAATTTCTTTGTATTTTTGCTTGGGACAGATTTAATCAGGCAAATCTGGCTAATCCTCATTTTAATAACCATCATAGAGATCTGAAATGTTTAAGAAAATAAAAGAAACTTCCTCCGCTCTCAAGAATTAATACATAATTTTAAAAAGTGGATTCTGTTTTACCTTCGGATGGTGTAAGGAGAAACTGGTTATGATCCGCCTTTGGGTTCATTCCAACTGAGTTTCGAAGTCACTTGTATCATTTTCCTCCAAAACTCTAGCCGTGATACAAATATCATTCATTTTCAGATTATTTTGAGAAAAGAGCGTTTGTTTTCTTGGAGAATTCTTATTCATTCAGTTACACATTCAGTCAGATTTGCTCTGAGTGAGGTTGTTTGTTTGTGTCTGTGGCCACAGCATGAGGAAAATACCGATATCAAAAGGTTTCTGAAGTTGCGACCCTGTCTCTTGGGTATAGACGCCAATCTCTTCCTGAGAGAGTTAAAATTCCCAATGACTCCAGACACTGAGAATTAAGCTAGTGTGGTTCTGCGGTGTTTATCGAAGCCACTTCCAGTTAAATACAACCTATTACCTTTCTGGACATTTGAAAACCTAAAGAATCCAATGTGGTCTGGGAGTATGGGCAGGGATTTTGCTTGCCTTCCTTTCTGAGAGTGGTGTTTCTGCATTGGCTATGTCTGTGTGAAGTTCTTGAGCCGTGTTTATTGTGATAAGCTTTCTCGGACTCCGGGTGTTCATCTTTGTGGATACTTTTTGCATTCCTTTCATGAGTGGCACTGGGCCATCCAGAAGTCACTGATGCGCTTGAGTAAAAGTTTCAGGAATAAAGCTGTGGGAACCTCCCAGTCATGCCATGGGGAGGTTTAGGGCAGAATCCAGTGGAAGAAAGCCGACCTGATTTCTGCTCACATTGTTCTTATAGTTACATTTTCAAAATCCATCACACGTCCCTTCTCTTGTCCAGTGGGAGGAGATTTCTATAGCTCATCAGACCAGGGAAGAGTTCTGTAGCCTGGGCAACATAGTGAGACCCGCCCCCCCATCTCCATCTCAGCGGGTCTGGGATACCTGTCTCCCAAAATCCTAGTTTTGGGAACTGGGAGAGAAGGTACAGCCTGGCCACGTGGGGGTGACACAGGAGCCACGTTGGGATGCCAGGGGCCCAAGGACCGTCCAGGAGAAGCCAGCCCGAGTGATGTGTCAGGAATTATGGGTCACGAGCAGGACCGGCCAGCCCAGGGTGGAGAGAACTTGCTATACAGCGTGGCACCGAATTGAGACTGGAGGAACTCAGGACTGGAAGCAGGCAGGTGTGCTCTGTCGTGTAGGGAGGCATGTAGGGAGATGGACTTTTTCAGGAGCTTGGGAGCAGGGGGCTGCCACTGGGGAGCACTGATACCCACGCAAGACCTTGAAAAACAGGCAGATGTGGGTACATGGAAACAGGAGAAAAATGGCATTGTAAGAAGGCAAGCAGACAGACTACAGCATCCCAGTGAGCCTGGTGACAGTGGCCTCAAGGCCGGTGGGGGTAGGAGCGTTTCATGAACACCTTTGTTTTTGTTTGTTGTTGTTGTTGTTGTTTGTGTCAGGGTCTCACTCTATCGCTCTTGCTGGAGTGCAGTGGCACGACCATGGATCACCGCAGCCTTGACCTCCTGGGCTCAAGCAATCCTCCTTCCTCAGCCTCCCAAGTTGCTGGAGTGCAGTGGCACGACCATGGATCACTGCAGCCTTGACCTCCTGGGCTCAAGCAATCCTCCTTCCTCAGCCTCCCAAGTAGCTGGGATTACAGGCATGTGCTACCATGCCTGTCTTAATTTTTTTGTAGAAACGAGGTCTCATTGTGTTACCCGGGCTGGTCTCGAACTCCTGGGCTCAAATGATCCTCCTGCCTCAGCCTCCCCAAGTGCTGGAATGACAAGCATGAGCTACCACGTCCTACATGGACACCTTTGTATGGTGATGTGATGTACTCTATAAACATTTAAGAAGAATATGATGTCTGAAGAGGAAGTAATGGAGGTTAAACCTGAAATGAAGCGGAAATCAGTGACATCCTAGTTATGCTGAGAACCAGTTGATGTTTGTGGTGGCTCAGCTTAGAGCAAAAAGTAGTCTATCTGTTTTCTCCGCACAAAGCCAATTGTGGAAATTAACCCAGCGGGCGTTGAGTGGGGCGCCTGTGTTTTGGTTCGGAGTCTCTGGCACGGGGGCTGCTGAGTGACCTCTCGGGTTGGAGGATGACGGGGTAAGGTTTAGTATGGATTCCAGCAGGCCCGGGCACTTAACATCATTGGTCATTTTATCAATTCAGTGTTTATTTTAGATGATACATCGGCGACTGGAGACTGTGGCAGCAGGCTGAGAGCTCTCTAGTCCTTGGACAATGAAACCAGGCGGGGAGCAGAAGGGGACACACAGATTGTTCTGAGGGGACCCAGAACAGAAGTGGCTTGTTCAGAGCCATGTGGGGGTGGCCAGCTGACAGGTGTCCCCAACTGTCCCCCTCCATATATCTGTGTGTCTCTGTGTTGTGGCCTCTGTGTGTTTGAGATACAGTTTTTATCATTAGTCTAATTATTTTAATCATCTCTCTTATTTTTTAATGAAAAGAGACATGCAGCCAGGTGAGATAACTCATGCCTGTAATCCCAGCATATTGGGAGGCTGAGTCAGGAGGATTGCTTGAGTCTAGGAGTTCAAGACCAGTCTGGGCAACATAGCGAGACCTCGCCTCTACAGTAAATCAAAAAATTAGCCAGGCTTGGTGGCATAGGCCTATAGTCTCAGCTACTCGGGAGGCTGAGGTGGAAGGATCACCCAAGGAGGTTGAGGCTACAGTAAGCTGTGATCGTGCCACTGTACTCCAGCCTGGGTGACAGAGTGAGGCCCTAAATCAAAAACAAAAATAAATACATAAAATAAAAATAAATAAAGTCTGTCATGTGCCTAACAGATCTTCATTTCTGTTCCCTTTTGATGACCGACTAGACAAGCTAGTGCAGCAGAAATCCTTGAAGACATTTTTAGTGCACGGAGCATGGTGGTATATTGCCATAGAGCCTCCACACAGGGAGACAGGAAGCTGGCTCTATTCCTGCCCGATGCATGCTGTTCCTGTGCACCCATGTGTGTGCAACCCGTGAAATGTGCAGGAAGTCGATGATCTTTGGGTGGCTCACTTCGGCACAGGCCAGTGTCCCGCATACTGGGCTGGTGTCACGTCTGGACTGTCCTGGGAGTGCTAGTGTGTACCATCGGCTCCCCACAGTCCTGACCCCCTCCCACAACTCTGCCCTGTGTCGTTATTCTGAGATGTGTGAGATTTCCCCCTTGGTTGTATGTCATGCCACAAAGGCTCAAAGGCAAGTACACAGCATGTCAGAAATGAGTTGTGGTGGGAGGATCACTGGTGATGGGTCGGGGGGATGCTGGGTTCTGCTCGTGACCCTGCTGCTTGGCAGACTTTGTGACCCTGGGCAAGCCACATGGCACCTGAGGGCGTCATGTGTCTCCTGTAAGGTAAGGTCCTTGGGAAGGACTGAGATTCCTTTTTTTTCTTTTTTTCTTTTTTTTGAGTTGGATTCTCACTCCGTTGCCCAGACTGGAGTGCAGCAGTCTAATCAAGGTCAGCTGGGGTCACAAAACCATGAAATGTAGGAAAATCGGGCTGACATCCTCTGGAGGTGGTTTCATTGTGTCCTTGACCTTCCCTGCTAAAACTCGTGCATCTGCTAGGACATTTCTCAAGATCAGTGTTTCGCCCCGTCTCCCAGGCTGGAGTGCAGTGTAATGATCATGGCTCACCGCAGCCTCAACCTGCTGTGCTCAGGTGATCCTCCTGCCTCAGTCTCCCAAGTAGCTGGAACTACAGGTGCAC